ATTGTGAAATGTATTTCTCATTTCTACTGAACAATCAACTTAAATTTAAAATTCAAATTCAATATTGAAATGATTTTAATTCATTATAGTATAACATATTCCTCTAATTTTCATGTGTTGATGCTATTCTGAAAACTTTATTTATGTTTATATGTGTCAATTCGGGTCTGGTTCGGGTCCAACCCAAAAAATGACTCGACCCAAATAGAGTCAATCCGAACCTGACCCGAATAATAAAAGTGACGAAAATTAAGACCCAAACCCGAGTTTGACCTGCTAACTTGAACCCGACCCGAAATTTTGTGTTTGTTCATATCATATTTGGGTTTTGGAGTTCAACTCTAACCTGACCTGAATAATGAATTGGTCAAATTCTCTGACCCGAACCAAAGGGTTAGCTTATACCCAATTAGCTCTCAAGCTAAAATTAACCGTTGGAGGTGGCTTCTTGGGAACCTAACCATTTAGAATAAAATAAATTTGATTTCAAATAAATAAGGAAATAAATAGAAATCATCCAAAGATTTTTTTTTTAATCTTTCAAAATCAATATATATTATTTTTATTACTAAATATTCAATTAAGAAAATTTTTATTATAATGATCCACATAACTTTCCAAAATATTTGCCAAGATAAGTGGCCCTTCGGGATGCTACAAAATGACAAATACACACGCCCAACTTGGCACCCCCAATTAGAATTTCAAGAATAAATCATTTTTTAATATGATATTATCTTACTCCTTAGTGATAGGAACATTCCCCCTTATTAGTGACAATAACATAAAATAAAAAGTAAAAGGTGAATTTACATCAATAGCACCCAATTCTTTTGTATTTACTTATCTAGCACATTAACTTTAATTTTTACGTTCAAAGCATTCTAGTTATGGAAATACTATAATTCACCTTTTTCATTTATCTTTTCAAATATTAGTCAAAATTTAAGTGTGAGTGAGTAAATATATAAGAATTGGGCCTTTAGTGTTTAGTGTTTAGAGTTTTCCTTCATAATTTATTGGGCCTCATGGAAGCCTCGTATTAATTCACAATGATTTTGATGAATTGGAGAAAATATTATATTTGTTATCCACAAATAATATTAGATCAGAACTTCTAACGTAGTTTGTGTTAGGAGTCTAATAGTGGGGCGTCACGTGTTAAGAGGGCCCCACCGCAATATACTAACATTGACAGGTGTTAAAAATGATAGGGCCCGCTTGACACGTGGCGCCCTATCATTGGACTTCAAATACATCCGGAGTCCTGGTCGTTATCTGAATATCCAAATGATGGCTTAAATTACATCACATTACAGTGCATAATTCACATCATTATTCAATCATAAAATATTAGGACGTGATATTTTTTCAATAAATTGAGTCCTAAACTATTCAATAATGAGTTGTCTAATGTTAATGGAATTTAATGGTTTAAAAATAAATTATATAATTGATTATGAACATGGTAGAGAGTGCTTCATTAGTCACATCATCAGGTTGTGCTTCAACAGCTTGCAAAGACTTGACCAGTCATCAACCAAAAAACAATCTTAAAAATGACGCTAAACAACTTAAAAAATTATAAAAAGAATGCGATTCAATAGAGAGCTGACGTTTGTCAAAAGCTATTTTTTTTAATCTGTTTTTGTTCAAAATGAATAATTGACTAAACGGGTTTGATTTGACTTGGAATTTGCGTTTAACCGCACTTGAGATCCAAACGGCCATTTTGTTGTATGTGAATGGAACATGCATGTAATTTAAATTTGTGTAGAGTATATATGAAAATATAGGGAGAAGAGGCTCGTGTGAACCGTGGTTAAGGGACATATGCGTTCATCTTTGCAACAACTTGCATTTTTTAAACCGTGGTTACGCTGGACAAGCTCAATCTTGCCTCTCGTGCCTTTCAGGTAAGAGTTGTGTTATTGTTAAAAAATGTTTAAAATAGTCTAATAATGCTTTAACCTTAAAATTTATAAAAATATAATTCAATCTCTGGTGAAGACTATTTTAACTCATATTAAATAAATAAGAAACTATTTTGACACTTTACTATTATTATTATTATTGTTATTGTTATTATTATTATTATTATTACTTTTGTTATTCTTTATCTTTTTCTATTACTTTTTTTCTTATCATCTTAGCAATATTATTTTTATTAAAAATTTTAAATATATTAAAATCCTATAATTTTACAATGTTTACAACTATTACAATACAGTATTACATTTTAATTGATCATGTTTATACCCCGTGCCTTATAATTTATATTATACTCAATGTATGGGATTCATCAACTGAGCTTATTTTTTACAATCTCACTGGCATTATTTTATAATTTTTAATTTATTAGTTAGGTATTGTTTAGAAGAACATTTAGACTCATAATTTGGGTTTATCATTGATGATAATTTAAGATTAGAATGACTTAATTGGTTAAATGGTGCACTTAAATTTCATTTACAATATGATGGATAGTATTTGATACTATTGGATTTAAATGCTCTAATGATACTATTAGTGAACTTATATCATTAAAAATTTTATATTTTATTTATTGTAATTATTTCTTGATTATAAGCTCACAGTTTTTTGCAGAGTTCTTTTGATTTCTTCCAACCTCAAAAGGCAAGGTCTGATAAATACTCTAAATTTGGCATGGATTGAGGTTAATGTGGTGATAATTAGCTGAATTAGTGTCCCTTTCGCGACGTCCGCAGCCACCGAGCATCCCTCGCTGCCGACCTCTGGCTCGCCGGCACCCTCTTCTTCATCTTAACCGGCATGGTTCTGCGAACACCACATCAATCCACCCTTCAGCGGCCCTCCCTCCCGCCAGCTCTGCGCCATCTTCTACTTCTCCTTCTCCACCCCCGTCTTCGCACCCATCTTAGACGCTGCAATTATTTACAGAGGAGACCATAATGAGCAATCTATGGAAGCTGGTTATAACAATATGGGTGTTTGTGGTGCTCATACTCACTTCCAACTCTACCGTTAGTCTAACTTCGATGCTGAGCGTGAGGCAGTTCCAGCTCAGTAAACCGGCGGAAAGGCGACCATCTCTCACATTTTTTTGTCAAAAGTTGAAGCAAAGGAAAAATATTACATCTTGATGGCCTACATCCGGATTAAGTGTGATGGTATTTTTAGAGGTATTATTGGTAGTATTGTGATGTTAATTTGATAAAATAACATCACAATACTATCAATAACACCTAAATACTACCATCCTCACATGAAAATACATCAGGACTTCCGATATAATATTTTCTCGGAGCAAAGCGGAGTTTATTTTTATGATGCAAGATTACCGCTACGGCCATTTTGACGGACGCGTAATAGAAACCTTTTTCTTAATTTATTTTTTAAAAAACCTTTATATTTACTAAGTATTAGTTGAAGACCTTCATATATAAAAACTTCTTTCTATTTTTATTTGAGATTTTTCCTTTTCTCTACTTTGGAGAATCATGATTTATTGAGAGAGCTGATAAAATTAAAATATTAAAGGAAAGAGTTTAAGCATAATTTTTTTTTCCTTTTAAATTCTTTAAAAGTACTATACATATGATTATTAAATTTAAAATATTATTAATATTAAATTATTACTAAAATATTAAGTTAAGGGGGCATAATTCTTGGTGTATTATATGATATTAAAAAAATTAATAAAAATTTAAGAGTGACGAGTGCCACTTCTAGCTATCCCATGGTTCCACTATTGTTTGTTTTAATATACTTTTAATATATTAGGTGTTAGATTTTTTTTTAAATTATTCACATTATTTTTTAAATTTTTAAAAATTTATATTTCTGTTTCATTTGTTCTTTTATGGATTTTTTTTACATATTAAATCATCTAAATTTACTTTTGTTTTAAGCTATCTTTATTGCATATATTACTCTCAATTTTTTTCATGATTTGTATATTTTATTTTTAATTTATATAAATTTATTCTAGCATTATTTGTTCTTATTACATGTAAGCATTATAATGGGCCAAACAATAATCAAACTCAAGTTCTTATTAAAAAAAAAGGTCAAAGCTCTTAGTTATTATTAATTTTTTTGTTGCCTTGTTGAGTAATTTGAAGTGTTTTTATAATACAATAAAAAAATAAATTAGCTGAAAATTTCTGAATAATTTTTTTTTAATAATATATTTGTTTATAGCCATTGGGCAAGTTGGGTGGTTGAGCCGTGATTGGCTATTGTACTGCTATATTAATGAAGGGCTAATTCAATTATCTTAAGCTCACTTAATCGTGCTCTTAAGGATTAATTGTCTTCCAAACAGCTTCATTAGATTAGCATTTATGTACAAACAAGCACAGCTATCTTCTCGAGGCTGAGTGGCCACAACTCAGAAGCTCCACCGAGGTCCAATCAGAATCCACCAAACCTTCTCTCACAAACATCCGAAAAAGGAATGAAAATGAGAAGAGAGAGAGCGGGGGAAGGGAGGAACTTCGAATCCTGATTAATTTACTCCTGGATCACTCTCTCTGATCCCCGCTGCCCTCCACCCGTGGCTTGGAAAGGTCGGAACTTTATCGGTTTTAGATTTCTCATCCATAGATTCCTCTTCGATTTGCAGACGGTCTTCTTCTCCATCCCTCATTTTTTGTTCTTGGATTTTGCAGAGTTTTGGAAGATCTTCCGTCTTCTTTTTAGGGCTTTCTCGCTCTTTGCGGGTTGTTTGGTTTCGAGCTTGAAGTGGGTAGGCTTTCTTTTGCGGGGGTTCTTGTTGCCGAGTACCAGATCTATTGGATTTCTAGGGTTCTATATCCCGCTTTATTTGTTTTTTTCAAACTCCACAGAAAACCTTTTTTTTTTTTTACTTCCGTCTGTCGAGATTATTGTAGTCTTTGTCCTTTCTATATTTTGGAACTGGTTATTGTCTGGATTCCCTGTGGAACGCTTAATACTGTATCTGCATTGCTTTTCGTTGATTCCCTTCTCCATAACCTCTTTCATCTGAGACCAAGTTTCAACTATGTTTTTGGATTGGGCCTAATTAGCCGCCGAAGGTGTTTAACGATAGCAAATTCATTAATGGAAGTCCTTAATCCTGCTTATTTATCCAATTCCAATTGGCTTATCGGGGAGAAGAAGAGTGGGAATTGGACTCAGCAGGAGAACAAGTTATTCGAGAACGCACTCGCCCACTTTGATAGAGACACGCCGGATAGATGGATGAGGGTGGCTGGGATGATCCCGGGGAAGACAGTGGAGGATGTCATGTCCCATTACCATGATTTGGAAGAAGATGTGACCTGTATAGAAGCTGGCCTTGTCCCCTTCCCTGGTTACAACTCTTCATCTTTCACTTTGGATTGGGAGAGCGGCCATGGCTTTGATGAGGTGAAGCATGCTTATTCTATCAGTGTGAAGAGACCAGGCACTCGGCTTATAGATCATGAGAGGAAGAAAGGAGTCCCTTGGACTGAAGAAGAACACAAGTATTGTTCCATCCAATCCATCTTTGTCATTTCTAATAATTTTTTTAAGTTTTCTCCTTATGATCCAGTTTGTTTGGGGTGGTTGAAAAGAATAGAAAATAAAAAGGAAGGATCTTTGTGCGTTTAAAATTCAAAGCACTGTTTGATTGGGACATTAGCTGTTATAATTCATATTGAAATCTTACTTAAACTACTACCATTAGCGTAGTTTTTTCTTCAGATGGTGACAGTTTGTTCTTTGATATTCATTTCCATGCATTATTTTATTTTTTGCAGGAGATTTCTTATGGGTCTTAAGAAATATGGCAAAGGGGACTGGAGAAATATATCTAGAAATTTTGTTGTCACTAGGACTCCTACACAAGTGGCCAGCCATGCACAGAAATATTTCATCAGGCTCAACTCTGGTTCCAAAGACAAGAGGAGAGCCAGCATACATGACATCACCATGGTTAATGTGGAAGATAGCAGACCTCCCTCCCCATCTCAGTCATGTTCAGCAACAGCTCCAGCCACTGCAGAAAATTTCTCTGTGGTAGTCGATTCAAAGAAGCCTAATGAGGTAGTGAAAGGCTTCAGTGCTTCGCCTGACAAAACTCGGTTAGTTCAGCCACCTTATGGCATCCAACCATATGGAATGAAACTTCAAGCTCACAATTTGAATAATGGCAATCTCAATGGTTCTGCTATGGGACACCATGGTGTGTTATTTTAGATGTTATGCTATTAATCTGAATATCAAAGCTTAAAATTTGAAGAGAAAGTTCAGATGTCTGTGCTTTCATAACACCATTTTATGGAGCTTGAGCTTAACAATGGCAATGAAGGTTTTGTAATGCTCATTTTCGTGGTTTAATAAGTTGTCTTTGGTAAGTTATATGTAGTTTGCTTCTTTGTAGACATATATGTTCATGATACAGAACAAAATAATGCAATTCCAAATGTTGTAATGTGCTTTGTTTGATAATTTTTGTTAATTATGCTGAATGCTTATGCTGCTATAATTACCTTAAAAAATTCTGATTTGAAATTTATGATGTAATGTTTGATGTTAAGATGCTTATTATAGTGTCTTAACTATTTTTCATTATGTTTGTTACTCATATATATCAGCATTATTTAACTTCTCCATCACAATTGTGGTTCTTGGAAGGTTTTAGCCTTGCCTTTATACTTTCATCTTTGTGCAGTTTCGTCACCGAAGGAGGCTTGTTGTTAGCATCACTTTCATTCTAAATGTTCGTGATCAAAAGAAAGTTTGTATTGACAATAACTTCGGCATCTGAATTCAAAACGAAATTTTGAAGAATGTCTTCCCCAAATTTATCTATTGCTGACAATCAAACTCAATTCAATACATACGTAAAACCTAGGAAAAAACAGGGTAAAAGAGCATGTTTTATGTGAAACTTTCTTCTAAACACTGTCTGGCTCACTACAGAATCAAATTTTGGCAAGATATCCTTTCTACCAAACATGATTATGCACATTATCTTCTCTATTAAATTTGGAAGATTTACATACATACCACTTAATTCATATCTATTTACATATCTAACACCTAAACTTCAGTTCTTACATATATGCCAAATTAAAATAGTGATATATTTTATGTGATGTGAAAGATTTGGGTGTTATATATGTAAGAAGTAAAGTTTAGGTGCTGCACCTAAACTTTAGCTGGTATGTACGTAAATACATAGGAATTAGGTGGTATGTATGTAAATGCCCCATTAAATTTTTCTCTGATAAATACATAAAAATAATTGCCCGGGCTTTAGTCTGAATACCTCTTTTTCTGCATTTCCTGCCACTTGCTTTGTGCACTTATACTTTTTTCCCTTCAAGAGGAAGAAATCCTGAGTTATTGGATGATTCCTTCCATGCAGCACACAGAATTTCACAGAAGCACCTTTCACAGCCTACCTAAGATTCTTCTCCCTCCTATTATATTCCACCACTGCAAACCCACTAAATTGTTGTGGATTTACAGTTATTAGTGCATTGCAACTCCTGCTTTTCCTTCAAGACCATCATCAAAATTCTTGGTGGAAGAAATGCCATGAGTCACTTCAGCTTGAAAACCTGAAGTAATACTGTATAGAGATGCTTTTATTCAAAAAGTTAATTTTCTTTTGTTAATGCATGACAACAAGTTTAGTCCCACCCCCCCACATGGCTCATCCACAACATATATGGAAGACATAAGGGGGTGGGGAAGGTGATAGAGACTTGTTATAACACCTTTCGCTATATCGAATCTCATGCAACACTGAATTTATAATTGAAATTCTCTAAAAAGTTTCATTGTTTTCAGAATACGAATCTTGCAAGTAGTTGATGTAGTGATTAAAAGCCATGGCTTGGAGGCTTTTTTTTTTTTTTTTTTTTTTTTTATTTTTATTTTTATTTTTTTTTTTTGTTGGGGGCATTTACATGCTTATCACACAATTCTTATGTATATATATCTAACAACTAAACATTCATAACTACATACATAGTACACAAAATTTTAAAATGACATTAAAAATATCACCATCACTATCATTTTAAAAGTGAAATACATCTTTTTATACATAGGCTTGCGAGACTAAGATATTTTAAGTGTAAATAATAAACTTTAGGCGGTAGGAATGTAAAATACATAAAAATTGTTTGGTTTGTATGTAAATTTCACTTTTTCACGAGGCTTATTTTGTTTCCAGCCAATGGGCAGCAAGTTCAAGTACTATTTAAGAGCCAATTAACTTCACATGACCACCTCTTTTGTTGCTTTAACTGTTCAAAATTGGTCCAAATAATTTGTTATCTGCGAAGATGGCTTTTGAAGGAAAATAATAATAATAATAATAATAATAATAACCTTTAGACACAATGATTAGCTGGCACTCTTTGAACGGCACAAAGCGCCATCTTACTCAGATCCATGTCCTGCTCAGTTGTCTTGATTAAAGCATTAATTGTTCTTTTTTCTGGACTAATCGCCAGATTTGCATAAATCCAAAAGTTGAAATTTAACTATTTGTCCTGACAACCTAATTCATCCATTGGTCATACTATATCTAGCTTACTGAATTTTATGCACAAATCACTGTCATCCTCCATTACAGTTTTTTGTTTCTTTCTGATTTACAGGCCTGTTTCATAAAATGAGGCGTGAAATCAAATAATTATTGCCATAATGACCCTTTTTTTTCTGTTGTGGTAATGGACCCTATGGTTACAGTTTATTTCATCTACAGAATATTTTTATTCCCTCCTATGGGCTCTTGTATTTATTGGAATTGCTGTAATGGCTACAGCCATCAGCAAATCTGCGGTGTATGTAAATATCAATTTGCAGATTAGTTGGGGCCACCAAGGCCGGCCACAACTTGTTAAATGAATAATGAAAACAAATTTGAGCAAAGTGCCAGTCCCTATTAACTTTACAGAACAAAAGAAAGACAAAACTGTTCAGCTTTTGATTTAGAAAAAATGCAGTATTCTTTTTTTTTTCCATCGGCGCACAAAAATGCTGCTAATCTTTATTCTATATTACATATTATGAACTCATGTTTTTAATTATGAGGAAAAAAAAAAAAAACAATTTAGTCCCCTTAGTCTTTGCATGCAGACAATTTAGTCTTGAGTGTCTATAAAAATACCAATTTATTGTGAAGATTTTTTCTGGTATGGGCTTGAATAGTCAGACTCTTTAAATAAAGGATTATTCTATAAACTCCAAAGCTAATTTGATATTTTTATAAATTTTATTAAAGATTATCTCATATAAATAATCAGAAGACAATTTAACTATATTTGTCTGATTCCAGAACTCTTTCTTAAGAGTTTCTCCTTTTGCTCCATAGAATTTGGGTATGCTGGTAAAGGGAACATAAACTGACTGCAAAAAAAAAAAAAGGGAGCAAAAATCTAAGTTATTGACTATGCCAATAATTTGTTTTGTAATTTTTGGTTTTATCTTTAGGTGTTAACCGTTAGTGTAGAACTAATGAAAACTTCATTTCAGGTTAAAATTACTACTGCACAAAAACTAAGAGGAATTGATAACTTCAAAGGAGGTTCTTAACTTTCTTGATATTTTATATTGGAGAACTATTTGATTCCATTTTTGGATGCATCTTATTGCTTATTGTGCTTCATCATTAGAAGACAATTTGAAAGCAATTCAATATTTTTTAAGAAGAATAGTTTTTGTATTCTTGATTTAAGCTTACAAAAAAATATAACAGCTTTGAAGCTTTGTGTATATATTTATAATTAGTGTGCAATATAAGAAACTTTCTTTTTTTAAAACATGTGTGCTCCTTAAAACTTAAAGGTATTTACATATCACATAATTACTTACAAAAAAATATAACAGCTTATGAGGCTTTGTGTATATATTTATAATTAGCGTGCAATATATAAAGCGTGAAGAAACTTTCTTTTTTTAAAACAAATGTGCGCCTTAAAACTTAAAGGTATTTACATATCACATAATTCTTAGGTATTTACATTGTCATGACTTAGCTCAACGCTTAGGATATTTCAAAACAGGAATTGATGATGGGACGATGACACGATGCTTATAAAAATTTTTCCTTTTTATTTTCTATAATTAATATTTGGCCATCCGAAAAGAAATAAAAAAGCCATTACAAGTTTAAAATTTTAATTAAACAAATGATAAATTTAGTTTAATTCAGGTTGCTCATGTATTCTATATATATTCCCCACTCTATTACTAGTCTTTTAAATAAAAATCTAGATCTAAAAAATGTAATTTAAAATAATAGAAAGCAACAAAACTGAGTGCATATTAATAGTTCTAAACTATAATAATATAAGGGATGAAAAATAAAATATATGATAATTTATTACACCTAATCATAGCAAAAGAAGCAATCAATATTTTAATATTCAAGTATGACCAATTCATATTGTTTAGTACATTCAAGGGTATTGATTTGAAGCCTACAATAAACACACACACACACACACAAATTAAAACTATGATTTTAAAATAATATTTACTTATTTGCATTGATTTTACTTAATTATTTATCATGGATTATTTAAGTATTAAGTTTCTTCTTTTGTACCTTTTTATATAAATCACGATTAATTTTATTTTGCTATTGCATTCATATTAAAGTTGTAATTATTTTAGTTCATTTATTTTTCAATATTTTCCCTCCATTATTTAGTAATATTTTTATTTCATCTAAATCATATTCAATTAATTTCTGTGGTTACTTAAAATCATTAATAACATAATTTTGCTTCTAATGTATCAGAATATCTTCATTTATTATTATTATTACTATTTCACTAGTTATCATAAATTTTCTAATATTCGTTATTCAATTTTAATTTGAAATTTCGATTATTTCTTCTCTTAATCATTCAAAGTTAAAATGAGCCGATCCTCCTATCTATCACATTTCATAAAAAGTAGATTAACTTAATTATTCATTTATTATTATTATTATTATTATTATTATTATTATTATTATTATTATTATTATTATTATTATTATTATTATTATTATTATTATTATTATTATTATTATTATTATTATTATTATTATTATTATTATTATTATTATTATTATTATTATTATTATTATTATTATTGAGTTTAAATACATAGCCCCCAATTCTTATACAGTTACCTATCTCACACTCTTATTTTTATAAAATCAAAACCTACTTATGAAACTATGGATTTTACCGTTGGAGAGTGATGCAAAAGAAAAATTGCGTTTGGGTGTGAGATAGATGAATGCATAAGAATCGGATGTTGTGGATGTAAATTTCCCTAAAATGAATAAATAAATAGTATGCCTTGACTCCTCAAGATTGGCTCAGATTGCAATCAAAACGGGCTACACCTTCCTCCTTCACACACAACTACTTCACAACTGTCTCGGCCTCAAGCCTCCCGTCCACTTCATCCCTCATAAAACCCAGCGCATATTACATTAGGATTTCGAATTAGGACTCCAAATGTAGAGATACGTTCGAATTCCAATAAATACTGTATTACAAAAATATCTCACTACGTTATATAAATACACCACATTATTTGTAAAAAAAGAATACGTTCGGAGTCGCCTAATATTTTTTACATAAAACCGGAACGAAAAAATATTACATCAGTACTACGCACGTAGAAGTAACATGCGTAGCCAATGAAATAATTACATCAGGACTTCGAATCAGGACTCCGAATGTAGAGGTACGTTCGAATTTCAATAATTACTACATTCGAATTTCAATAATTACTGTATTATTAAAATATCTCACTACGTTATGTAAATACACCACGTTTTTTGTAAAAAATGAATACGTTCGGAGTCGCCTAATATTTTTTACATAAAATCGGAACGAAAAAATATTACATCAGTACTACGCACGTAGAAGTAACATGCGTAGCCAATGAAATCACGCCACGACACCTAGCGCGAGAGGAAAAAAACGGCGCAGTAACACTGAGAATATTCTCCCTTATTCATGTGTTATTGATGTGTTATTGTGTTATTATAACACCAAGAATATTCTCAGGACACAATAGCACATGAATAACACACAATAACATATGAATAACACGGGAAATATTTTCGACAGAGGAAAAAACTGCCCACTAACACGGGGGAATATTCTCCCCCGTGTTATTCATGTGTTATTGTGTGTTATTCATGTGTTATTCATGTGTTATTGTGTTATTATAACACCAGGAATATTTCTAGGACACAATCACACATGAATAACACGCAATAACACGTGAATAACACGGGAGGAATATTCCCCGTTTTACTGCACCGTTTTTTTTTCTCTGTCGTGCAGGGTGTCGTGACGTGATTTTATTGACTACGCATGTTACTCTACTTGGATAATACTGATATAATATTTTTTCAACCGGAATAGGCATCTTCAACCGGAATAGGCATCTAACTCACCCCATCATCGCCCTTGACATCGTTTGTCGCTCTTGTCGCTCTCGCAACCACAAGCCGCTCGTCGCCAATGCGGCTGCCTTTGGCTTCATTTTTCAGAATCGTAGCAGTACGAACCTCCATCTCCAGCTCTTTTCTGATTCCAACCCTAGGGCTCGTTAAACTTGTTGCCGAACACACCTCCCTCGCCTCCCTTTGCTTTCACAGTGCATCTCTCCTCTGATCTCGTCTTCTTCCACTTCGTTCGAAACCGCGGTAAGGTGCTGGCTCAAGTGCTCTTTCGCTTGCGAGAACCACGCGCGATAAGATAGATGCGGATTTTGTAATATTTTGATAATATTGGTGTCATTTCAGTGCAAAATTCTATCAATACTACGTGCATATTGGCAGCGTTTGGGGTGGTATTCGGTATTCACCTCAATACCATCACAATTCCACAGATCTGCACAAGCGAATGCCACATATAATATTCACTTGTAACACTGACATTAGAGGAAAAATTAAAGCTAGGCGTTACGTACAAATCTAATACCAATCATATATTCTAAATATATATTTTTATAAATATTTAAGTTATATTATTAATAAATATATCTATAAGAGGGTGTTTGGTACAATGGTTTTAATAGGATTTAAGTTAGCTTTAACTTATATCCAATCAAATATCATAAATATATTAAATAAATATGTCATTAAACTAATCTAATTTTTGCTTGTTCCATTAAATCTGTTTACTAAATCTGCTTATTAGTCGGATTTAACGGATTTAGCACGGGAAAAAAATATGTTAAACAGATCAAATGAATTTAACTGGATTTAACATTAATTAAACCAAACATTAATTCAGATCTAATAACATTTAAATTTTATAAATCTAAATTTACCGGATATATTAAATCATATTTAACTTAAATCCTACTTACAGCCAAACACGCCCTAAGTTTAATCAAACTTGAAAGCATTTATTTTGTATGATAATTGATAAATTCATTTGATTATTTGTGTTTTGATGTTTTAACTTAATCTCCCTTTAATTGAAACAGAACATGAGGACACTACAAGGCTATCTTATATAAAAGCTTTTTTTTTTTAGGTTAAAAATCAGAATGCTTTGTAAACAATAGCTACTTTATTTTAATAAATTGAAAGACTCTATCAGCATAGAACTTTCAAACATCATAAGTGATTCACTGATTCTGACAATTTCATAACTGAAAAAAAGATTATAAAAAGGTTCCAATAAAGTAAAAAATATCTTGTATATCATGAATTTGTTAATCATATGGGACCCAAAAAAAAAATTTAGAAATTTCATATTATATAAGCAAAATTCCTCTTCAAACATACTTGTTTGACTCAAGTTATTCTAAGGATAATGAAGATATTCATATTCTTGTATTAATATAAAGATCTTTAAAGGATGATTTACTGATTCTTGGAGATTTTGTGAGATTTTTTTATAAAACTTGAAAAGTTTTGTGGGATCTTGTAATATTTTTTTAAGCCCTTAAACCCATTATTTATTTTCATTATAAAGAGAGCCTTGGAAGAATAATATGACATTGCCAGACTCTCATCAAGGGTCACGACAATGGAAGCCTGAAATGACCTGATTGACCAACTATAGCTCTCTTGGAGCAAGATCCAAAACCGGCCGAACGAAGAACGCCTAAGTTAAAGATCAAGATCCATCGAAAAAGAGAGAAGACATCAACTTAACTCTTGTACCCATATCGCGAGCCACCTTACAATAGTCCCCAAGGCTTTTCAAGAGACCTAAGGTTCTCATCACTACACATGAACACTAAAAATGGATCTCCTGTCAAGGGGTAGTTTACCTATCGGATTACGATAGTTCACTCTCTGTGACATGAGCTTCTCATCTAGAGATCATTAAAAATATATTAAAATTCAATATTTGGATCCTCCATAGCAAAGCTAATATTAATCTCATTAATTAATTAATACTTTATTTATGTTAATTTATTTATGTAAGTTTCGTTGGACAAGTATGTACATAAGATATCCATGAATACATACATATATATATATATATATCAAGGAAATCGATATTTGGCAGAGGCTCAAATATCGATTTCTCATGTGTTTTTTGGCCCCATGATGAGAGTCTGCGTCATGTGCCTAAAATTCCAGAGCCCCCGCGCCACGATGGAATCAAACCCTTGACCTGAGGGGACTTAGAGTGACCCCGCCACCAACAGGCCAAGGCTTGGCGCACACAGCTTGGAGCCACC